GTGTGGTCGTTGCGAAAGAAGACTTGTCATTGAATTCGGATGCTAAAAACCTGCTGTCTCATATTAGAAACTTATCTCATAATAGAGGATAATACTTCCCTCTGTGTTAATCTTCAAATAATTTCGGATATGTATTTGAGAAAAGAAAAAATCCCACAGCCATCGAGCACTCGTCGTTGGTGGACGATCTTGCATCAGACCGTAACTGATCATGATCAAGAAATTACAAGTCCGCTCATAAATCGTACAACGATGACAAAGACAGATCCGTGACCGTCCTCGATCGGCCGGACTCTCGCGCGAGCCCCAGCCGATATTTCTTTACGTCTTGGGAGTAGTGCAGCTCCCGCATCCTACCCTTGATCCATTCGGCTAATACCAGCCAGAGAACCCGTCCGCGTTCCCTGAAAACCCGACGCGCCGATGCGTCCTGATCGGCCACGATCAGACGGCGGCAACGTCCGCCTGCGTGCCGCGCGTACAACGATTCCCACGGCGTATCATGCCAATTTCCATTTACCGCGACCCTTGCCTGCAACGTAAGTGATTGCCTTTACATTCCCCTCTCCCACGATTTATTTACAGTATCTGTATACATACATACATACAGATTATGGATCGATATTAAACATGCTTAACTTGCAAAATCTTTCTAGGGTAAAAATTTGTCTTATTAAAGGCCGGTTTTTTCAACTTCTTGGTAAGCTAACTGATAGTTCAATTATACACGAGTCTATCTTTGGCTAATTTGGAGGAAAAACAAAGACGTATGATTTAACTATTGGTTAACTTACCAAGAAGTTGGTACAACCTGCCCTAAATCTATTAATATCAGCAATTGTAACGGTATAAATGATAATCAACCGTGCAGACAAATGGTAAAACAATATATAAATTCACATAATAAGATTTGAATTATTGGGCTATCTACATCCTACTTGGACCTACATGGCATTTTCGTTGGCCGTTTGAATTTAGGGACCTTATTTAATTCTAATATAAATGATAATGTTTAAAAAATTATTAATAATTATTAATTTTAGTTCACTACGTTATAATAAATGTCGTGATATCTTAATTTGCATCTATTAATTCTTCTTTCATGCTACATAATTTGGTAAATTATCCACTTTTAACCATGGACCTATAATTATTTAAGTGTTATAATGATAAATTAGAATAAGTTAATAATAGGATAATTTTAATCTATGTAAGTAAATTAATTTTGTTAGAATTATATTTCAGTTCACTTTTTGCAATGGGATGAAATTAATTTCGTGTCAATATTTAGTCGCATTAAGAGTAAAAGTGTGCTTTAAAACATGATGTGTGTAGATTTCAAAACATAGGAGTATCGTATTGTACCTAAAAACAATATTCTTTAAAATTTTATGTAAAAGCATATAAGGAGGAAATTAAAGTTTATTGTACGAAATTGATAAGATAAAATGAAGATCGCTACAGGGAATACATGTGTAACAAGCATAGAGATAATAAATCATACACGTTTAAATGCTACCGGGATAGATAGATAGATTTCATAATCAAAATTTTGATAAAATAATGCGTATACTTACTAGAAGTAAAGTTGTTACTGTATCATCCTGAACCTTGTTCAGCATGATAAAAAACTTTATTTAGCTTACAACATCAATAAAGTATCAAAGATAATTAATAATAATACAGTAGCAAATAAATACAATCAAAACAAAAAAAGATTATAAAACTGTCCTGTAGAAAAACCTACTTTAAACATATTTATCTCAAATAAGTGATAAATTTGCTGCAGATAAGAAAGAAAATTATTTCGTTTCGTGTTTCTGTGTGATGTAAATTTTGTTGATCTACTTTTTCGTGTACGTAACAGCGATTTAAAATAATGTGTGTGATTAATGTATCATAACATTTGACCTATATGTTCACCTATTTTTAACGAAACTTTACAACGAGATTTTTTTAATATTCTTTATCTGTAATTTCTTGTATCTTTTACCTGGGGTCGTGCTACATTGTATCACACTTTCCACAACAGTAGATGGTTCGTGGAATCCTCGCGACCAGCCTGCAGCTCAGCAGATGCCTGAGGTCCGCGGAAGTCCTCATAACCGTCTCCGCCGGATATCACCAGGAGTTTGCCGCGATTGATGTTGTTCTGCTGCGTTTTATTCGACTTCAATGAATAACGATTCACTTTTGGACGAGGATCTGGTTTCGAGTTGTTTGGCGTTTCCACACAGGTGAGAAAGCGCACGTGTCCTGTGTGTCCGTGAGGAATTCCTGTGTAAAATATCACAATTTTATTATTTAATTCGACAAAGGCCTTTGAACGTAAAGTACGAATCTTGCGTTTTAGTGACTGTAGAGAGTGTACAGTTCATCATTCGCCGAATTTCTAAAATCTTATTGTTGGTTTGTTTCCAGGAAAACCTTTATGATGTCGATTCATCTCCATTTAGATGTACCTATACATACTCTTAATCGTCTGACAAAATTTTACATTACATACGTACACGGAAAAAACTTGCTTTTAAAATTAACTCTGAAATCATGTAATCGTGGACGGCATTTTGAAGAAGTCTATGAGAGTTTCTGGCTTTCAGGCTTTCGCGATTGTTAACACCGTCAGTAGTAATGGCTTCCGGATGCAGCGAGGTGCCGACATTTCGCAAACCTTGCAGCTTGCATCATTTTACTAGTCAAATGTATGGTAAAATTTGAAAAACTCTCATAAACAACTAATAAGAATATTCTTAAAAGTCGCCAGCAGTGATTAACAACATCAGTGTTTTATTGACCGTATCTGGCATTTCTAATAATACAGAAAATTTATCGCGAAAAACATTACCTCAGCCAGGGTTTGAACCTGGACCTTCCCTACACGCTATAGGCGGGCGTCTCTCATAAAGTTCTTCAAAATGCCATGTTGTCCTACGATAACATGATTTTCAGAGTAAATTTTAAAAGAAAATTCTCTCCGTGTACACATGGATGAAAGAGCAATCCCAACTACTAATATCCTACCTTTTCCCCTCCCAAATAACTTTTACCAAACATTTTTTACTATAAATAATGCATCCTCTTTTTAGATGCAACAACTTTATACCTTTTAAATGCCTCGCCCTAGTATAAAAAATACACATAGCACAATAAATTCTGAGAGGAATTAACACACGCGTGTTTATGTACGTACTACGTACGTATTTAAAAAAAAACCTGACATTGATCGATCGCTTCTGTATCCTTCCACGTGAACGGAGATCGCGCGAGATTTGGGGTGTCGGCCAGCTTTCTAATTATATCGCGAGGCAATAATAACGACGACACAGGCGATAGAATGTGACGTCAATACGCACCAGTCACGATCGGCGGCTGCGACATCCTCTGAGTAGATGGCTTTATATGGGGAATTGGCACGGTGAGCAGCACGCCGGCGCTCGTGCCGATCCAAAGCAATTCGTTGCAAGCCAATAGTGCGGTGACCCTGAGACACGCGGCCTTGTGCTGCCGGATTATGTCATCGCAACCTGCAACAAGTTTAAAGCTTCCGTTAAAATAAGTGTCTTGTCCCTCGATAAGGACTCGTCTCTATCGATCGGCCAATCAAGTTTTCACGCGCTTCAACAAGTCTGAAAGGTGTCGCTTCTATTTTGATACTTAACATTTTTAATTAACTTAATACTTACCGTTTATATAGGAATTAGGTTCTGGTCTCAATTAGAAAAGTTTTAAATTAGCGGGAAGCTTGCGGAGGTAATAGGAAGTATATGAAATTCTCAATCTGAGATCTGTATAAAATTTTTTCATTTTAAATTATTCTTCTTTAAGCCACTTCTTTAAATTTTTGTAGAAGAAAGTCCTCTGGTATGAGATAGAATCCTAATGTGAGATTGTAGGTTTTCAAAGTCCAAATTCAATCGCAAATTTTTTTTCGCAACGACGATTTAACAAACAATGTTCCACTAAACAGATTTCACTCCGAGGACAATAAATTCATGGCGGAACCAACACAGATGATGCCTATTGATTTAGCAGAAACTCCGCTATCTCATATTGGAAGTCAATCTCGTAATAAGAAACTTTAATAATTTACAACGTCAGTGTTTTCTCGACCTTACCTGGCATTTTTAATAATACAGAAAATTTTATCGCGAAAAATATTACCTCGGCCAGGGTTTGAACCTGGACCACTCTACATTATAGACTGGCGTCTTCACTAAATTAATCGGGTTTTCTAATTATTTAAGATTTGAGACTTACTGGCAAGCATTTTGGTAACAGCTGGCGCGATGTTGATATCGGTTAGGCACTCGTATGTACTGGAATGGAAAAGCCTCAGCACAGCGCTGTTGTGTAAGGAAATCCAAACGCTTAAACCCCCGGAGTTCGCCATACAGGAAACCGCGCGGCTCGTGTCGCTGCTCACGGTGAACGTGTGCTCGATATCCAGAGAGTGGGTATTCAGAACTTTAACGCTGTTGTGACACCCGCACCAAAGTTTCCCGGAGACAGATAGCATTTTGGTCACCGGTGACGCCACCGTCCCGACGGACACCGTCGTTGGGTCCGGAGTGTTCCAGCCACCGGCTATGAAAAAAAGAAAGAAGAGGAACAAAATGAAGCGGGAATACAATTTGTTCGCGCTCGCAGTTTATTTCGCTGCTAATTGCCAAGAAGATCCAAAGTCGGTACGTACTATGGTCCCGAACGTAAACGGTGATGTCTCCGTTGGCAAGAGAGACGAACACCTTGTTGTCCAAGTATCTGAAATCACGAGGCAGAGTTTAGAATATACCATGGAAAAGAAATAACATTCTTATTCCTTTGTAGTCACAAGTAGAGATGTTTGTCGACCATTCGATATTATCGGTTATTCGATGTTTTTTCAACCTCGATATGAAAATACCGAATTAAAACACCACGAATGAAATATCGAATAAATTCTTTTGTACAACTTCAATAAAAATGAATATTTCTGATAACCGATCGGCAAGTTTAATTATGCGGAGAAACTTATGCATAAGGAGATCGTCCAATCACGATGCGGTTAGAGATGTGTTTATGCGATTGGCTGTGTTTTACGTCCCTGTTTATCGTTGCAACCTGTAAACATGCCACTCATCTGCACCTATGCCACACTAAGAAAGAACCTCGCGGCATTGGCACTTTGAAAATTAATAGACCTATTGGCTGATTCGCCAGAACTTTCTACTTCGTGTGCACATCAAATTATATTCCCTATACTTGTCATTATGAAAAAGGTAAAGGAACCATAACGAAGTTTGTATGTTTCTGTACAAAATGTCGCTTATTCGATATTTCATTCAATATGTTGACTATTCATTCGGCGTTAGCTGCGATACTTTCCAAGTTGAATATATTCAATAGTTTTTCTCGATTTCGACATGTCTGCACTGAGAAAAATATTCGATGAAATATAATCGGATAATCCGATTACATAGTAACAAACGAATATGTCCAATTAAATTTGTGTATCCGATGAAAAATGTCGGCTTTTCGATCAAATTTCATCGGTAACTGCATTTCATCGGATAAACTTCATCGGATGTGTCCATAATTTAATCGGAAAAATTAGCCATTGAAAGCGCTATTTAATTGATCGTAAGATTAACCGCAAGACGACTCACATGATGCAATGCACGCTGCTGCTGTGCTGTATCTTCACTTTGTTCTTCTTGATTCGAATGTTGTCGTTGCAGTTGTACACATGAATGCAGCCGTCCTCGGTTCCCAGCCACATCGTGGGCTGATTCGCATCCTCCTCGGTGGTGGTATTGTCGATACTCGATACGTCGCCGCTCAGCGTTACGCTGCCCGTGTCTGCGCATGGAATGTCGTCCGAGTCCGAATCGTCGGAGCTCGAGCTACTGCAAAATATATGCGAGCAAAGGTGAATATTAAAAAGAAGTAATATTGAAATAAACAGGGCACTCGTGTGCGGCAGATTTTTATTCAGATTCCACAATTATTCTGATTTTAAAGAGATACTGCGACTATGGAGTTTACTTCGGTTTAACAATGAAACAATATTTAATTTCAATAGATATTATACAATAAATATCGTTCCGGACAATTGCGTTTAACCTGATGAGGAATAAATGTGGCTATTATTAATATTCTATTATCAATAAATCATATCTAATTATAAACCGCTTAGTATTGCCAAGTTTCAGATATCATTATTTACGCGTCAGTCGCTAGAAGAGCCGCGGAAGAAATATTACCTGTCTAACTGTATGTTACCGCCGCTGGCATCCACATCTTGCACCGATATACTTATGCCACTCTTGCTGTTAGCGAACGGACTGTTGTTCGACGTGCACGAGTTCGAGCTGAGAAAAGGCAAAAGTTGTAATAAATTTAAACTCGCGTGTTCGTACGTGCCTCCATCTGGTCCAGCTGTTCAACCTCGTTGTAATTAAAGTCAAACTTCTTTACGCGTCTGCCTGCGCCACCTCGTCATTCTTACCCAGGCGTGCACGCGGGTATTCCAGCGACGCAGAGTATCCTGGCGTTGCAGACTCCGTTGCACGACGTTACTTGCGGTGGTTCCGGGCTCAAGCTCAGCACGCACACCTGACCGACGTAACCGTCGCTGTTGCAGACCCAGACGTCCTTCGATCCCTGCCCGTTCGCCAAAGTCGGCGCCGCACAGGTGAACTGCAGGCCCGCTCGTGTTTTCCTGATGGGCAGAGGCCCCACGAATTCAGGACACGGTCTCCTGTCCGCCGACAGTGCTGTGCACAAAGTGGAAAAGTAGTTGAAATTTTCGTTCGAGTTTACCTCTAATTGAAAAAAACAAAGTGCCTATGTATTACACATTTGAAGAGTGGAGAATTTTCTTATACGAATTCAACTTTCTTTTGCGAATTTATACAAAAGCTTTGGAATTCGGTTTGACGCGCATGCTGATCCAATCCGAGATTTTAAACAAAATGTCACATTTATTTCTGAATCGTAATTTAATTCTTACACGCCCCTTTATTCGTTCCTTCATTCAATCCTTTGCTTATATTACAGATATTGTTTTTGCGTGAAAATTCGAAAGAGATAGTTGCGATTGATTGAATTATTTAAATATTTGTAAAATTCAGCATATTAATTATACGGTTTTGTCGAATGATATAATAAAAAAGATTATTTTTAGAACGGTATTAATACGAAAAAATTATTTTATCAGAGATGGCTGTTTTCAACTGTGGAATCCGCGAAATACGAAAAAGAGAAAGAGAACTTTACTCACCGAGCTTCTGTTTGGCTTCATTAAAACTCTCCTCCCAACTCGCACGTTTGTCAGGCTTTGCGAACATGACGGATATATTCTCGATCCCGGCTCTGCAAACAAAGTACACAGGTGTAATACGAGTCACGTTGCAAACCGCGATCGAATCATCATGGTGATTTAGGGATCCAATATTTAGCACGTGCAGCAGTAACGTGATCGAAAACGACCCTTTGAAAATAATCAAAGGACTTCACGATGTAAATTTTGCAAAATTTAATGAAGCTCTTTTTTATTAACCTCGTATCAAGTTAAATTTGCTCGGCGCCATAAATTTCCTATTTTTTTTTGATTGTATAAATTATAGAATTGTGCAGATATAAACTCATAATTTTTTATTCATTCTATAATAAGATAAAATAAAAGAATTTACTGCAAAGATCCCTCGACACCGTCAAATTAACGTCGATTCGACATCGTTTCGACATCGACCGACGAATCATTTCTCTGGATAATCTTCTAGTAATTATTTCGTTGCTCTTCCGTAAAGGATCTTTGCAGTAATTTTTTTTACTTTATTTTATTATAGAATGAATAAAAAAATATAAGTTTATAATTCTATAATTTATACCATACTATCAAAAAACTAGGAAATTCGACGTCAATTTGACGGTGTCGATGCCGATTCGACATTGTTTCAACATCGATAGAAGAATCATTTCTCACTGTAAATTTCTAACAATTCAATAACTGATATACAGTAATTTTCTAGTAATTATTTCGTTACTTTTTCGTAAGTGATGTACTGTTGCTTCGACCTGGCACATGCAGTAAGCGTTCGAGTACCTGCAGTGCTACGTTAATGTATTTTATCGTCATCGATCCGCTAAGCTTTTCACTATTTATTTATCTTGCTTAATTTCCGAGAGAAACACACGCTTACTGAGTATTGAGTGTAAGTTCTAAACAGGCCAACTGCGAATGCGCCGCGTTTCTTTCGGCCAATTGTCGCTGGGCCTGACTCAGCATATCCTTGATAAGATCTTCCAACTGCTGCTTGGCACCGTGCAAAGTCGCGGCGAGCTCCTGCAGCTGAGTCAACTTCGTGCAGTCTTCTCGGAGATAGTCCACTTCGCGCGCCATTCGTCTTAAATTCTCGTCTTTGGCTGGAAACGACATTGGGATAATCTCTCAGACTCGAACGATAAGTGAAGTGCTAAATCGACGTCTCTACGATACCTTTCATCACTTCGAGATCATCCAGCGAGATCCGCATCAGCATTTTGTACTTGTTTGCGTCGAGCAGGCCGACCAGGCTGTTTGGACACGTGCTTCTGTGAATTTTCATCTCTTTTTGTATTTTTACCGTCGCAATTTTCTATTAACAATTATTAATCTTCATAAATAATAACATAAAATGTATAATGTGTAAATGATTTATATTAAAATTTGTGGCTCATGTAATATTGTTCGCAATAAACTTTAATTAGAATTATTTGCCAGTCGGATCGTATAATAATAATTTCCTCATTTTGTTATAATTAAAATTTGTAATGCAACATAATGTGCAGAGCGATTGCTTTACTAATTAGAGACAATAATTAGAAAACTGCTTTCATATTATTTCTTTAAATGAAAGTAATGACACATTATGTAGCACATAAAAATGATTTGAAGAAGATTTTAAATCGATGTTTTAGTACAATGAGAAAATAAGCTTGATTTAAATACATTGGTAAATTAAAAAAAAAATTTTTTGTCGCGCCCAAAAATATTTTTCGCTAGGTAGAATGTTATTTTTTTATGTTAAGGCGTATTTCAAATATTTTTGCTTACGTTGACGGCTTTCTTATCGTGCCGCTTCTGCGCTTGATGCTGGTGATGACGAGGAGATCGGAGAACAAAAATAAAGCCCGCTCCTTCCGTGTGCCCTGATTCGACGCTATGGTGACCAGATCGTGTCGGACGAAAGCTCTATGGGAGAAAAAGCGGACAACGTGTCACACGGTGAATTCGATGAATCTTTTTGTCGCGTCATGGCCAGTTTCCGCTACAGCACGCATCATTATCGGTAATCAATATTCCGATTCCGATGGCTAAATAAGTCCAGTGGAAAAACTATGTAACGCGTGCGAGACGATTGGCACAGATTGAACGGCATGTGAAGTGGGACAACGTTTCTGTCACGCAATGGTCGATCATTTATTGGAAAACGTTATTCGCTACGAAACAGCATCGAGCAATACGCATTTTCTTAATTATTTACTTTCCCAGTTCGTCAATTCGAGTGGCCATTCTAAAATTTTTATGTCACGGCAGCACTCAATAATTTTTTATACTTATTTAAATATTATAATATTGATATCATGGATAAGATGACATTGTCGCAGCGTAAACACCAAACAATCATAATTGTTATTATCATGACTTGACCTTATAAAAAATTGTCTCATCATTATTATAGCTTGACCTTATAAAAACTTGTTAGTTGCTTGTACCTGAGCATCTTGCAAGTGCAAAGAAAATATGAATGACGAGGCTTTGGGAAAGAGTTCATACATTGATTGATTTTACACAATTTATTTAATTATTCGCGGTTTTGTTTCTCGCGCTCTTCAGCGAAATTGAGTGTCGATATCCTCCGCCGACGTCAAGATGGGAAAACGATTGGGAATTATCTTCCCGTCGTGATAAATCGCGCCGTATACGCGCCGATCATAAATCTAAGGACATTACGTTGGAAAATGATCGTAAATTGCAAGGCCGCAACGTATCGACCGTAAATCCAGAGACCGCTGTGTCTTCGGGAAAACAAAGCCGAATCGAAATTATTATCCGCACACCGCGGCTGGCGTAAAAATTGTGAATGGATAATGGCTTGCTGGCCGTTATTACCTGTCGTTCGTTACGATGCCGGCGAGACCTTCGACGAGGGCCTGGACCTCTCTCAGCGTGGTCTGCTGCTGCTCCCATTCGAGCGACTCCCTTTCCGTGCAGTTGATCTTCACGACCAGCTCGTGCACTTCCTTCTGCGCGGCCTGCAGCAACTCATGATCGGGATGCGTCGGGTCCGTGTGTTTTAGCAGCCTCTGGATCAACAGCTCGTACCGCGGGATCTTCTGCACGGGTTTGATCAGCAGCTGGTCCAGACCCAGTTTGCCCTTGTGCTCGCGCTCCATTGTCTAATCATAGCAAAGTGTAAACTACCCCCTCTGGGAGCTTTTTATAATTTACCTCGGGTAAATTTACCTTGGGCTTTGTTAAAATTAACTTGTAATGAAATTCAGATGGCCAAGCGGTAATATTTACTATTAAATGTAAATGCACTTTATTGATTACCCTCAAAAATGCCACAAGGCCCAAACTACTTATAACACCTCTCTCTATATCCACTTCGCTATGTGGCGATCGAACGAAAATCAACAATGTTTTTGTTTGGTTTTGAACCCGGATCTTCGGATTACCAGACCAGCGCACAATCCGCTGCGCCACGATCGCCGCTTAATATATATAATTGCTATTATAAAGTATAATAATCTCTGCCAAGTGAACTTTTGCATGATGATGCATAGAAACAAATGCTGTTGCATTAAAGAAAAAACGTTGTGGCGAGGCACAGAGAAATGTGCGCTGCTTAGTAAATAAACGGTCCGAGTTCAGATCCAGCCAGGACACCGCTGATTTTTTCAGACGCCACTTCTCGAAAGGGAAGTGGCAACCACCGAGAGTATCTCGCCGCACATGCCCCTTTCCCAGTGAGAAATGATTCGTCGATCGACGTCGAAATGATGTCGACTCGACGTCAATTCGACGGTGTCGATGTCGATTCGACGTCGTTTCGACGTCGATCGACGAATCATTTCTCACTGGGTTAGCAGCTAACGAGAGGGGGACCGAGAGGATTGCCGGTATAAGCAACCAACCAGCTTGCTGGATAGGGCACTCTCTTGTCCTGAGAGGTGAGAAATCGCCCTCAAAGGCGGATGAACTATTTAAAGTAGTCAACGACATAGGATCAGGCAGGCGAGGGGAAACCACCTGATTATTTTCCCAAGACAGCGCCTCATGTATGTATGGCTCTTCGAGAGCCAACTCATGAGACGCCACCACGCCCTGTCAAGGGCAAAGGATTGAGGAGGAGGATATCTAACATTAAAAAATAATTAAGTTGCTCGCAAAGTAACGATCCGTTCCTTTTCGAGTGACTTGTAACTGTGACTAGTTACATCGTTAGCGGAAAAAAAACTGTAACTGTAACTAGATACTTCCGTAAAGTAACTTATCCAATCCTGATAAATATTATACAGGGTGAGTCTTTCCATATCCGACAAAATTTTTGAGAAGGTAGAACGGATTGAGATGAACGGAAAAGTCCTATACCATTTTGCAATTTTCGTAATAGTTAACGAGTAATTAATTATTAAAAATCGTTGTCTTAGGCCGGCCTACCGCCCAATTCGAGCGCGTGGCGAGACGTGCGCATAGCAATATCGATCGCCGGGCGGTCACATCTTGCCACACGCGCGAGTTGGGTGGTAGGCCGGCCTAAGACAACAATTTTTAATAATTAATTACTCGTTAACTATTACGAAAATTGTAAAATGGTAC